TGCCGGTGCGGCTGCTGGGAACAGCCCTCGGCTGGGGGGGGCCCCATGCGGGGTCCGGGGTGCCGTGTTGGGGTGGGGGCGGTCGGGGAGGGTGCGTTGTACATGCACCGATGTGCATACAGGTGTGTGCTGCACAGGGTGTTGCATGAAGCAGGAAAGCACCAGTGCAGCTTCTTGGCCTGGTCTGCAGCAGCTGGGGGCACCGGCAGCCCCACAGTGCCCCTCCCCCAGGAAATCCAAACCACGGAGAACTCGAGGTTGGGGAGCAGACATGTATTGCTAAAACACAGGATTACACAGCCCAGAGCAGTGGGACAGGACCACACTGACACCCCCAAGGCACCCAGCACCCACCACCTCAGGCAGGGGGGGCTGGGTGGCCTCCAAAGTGAGTCTGGGGGTGCCCCCTCCTTGCACCCACTGTCTCTGAAGGCACCAAATACCCCACAGGGGAAACAGCTCAAGAGGCACCTCCCACCCCCCCAGCCTGCTCTGGTCCTGGCGGAGATGGTCCCCACCAGAGCCCCTGTTGCTGCAGGCATCAGGGACAGGGGTGCCTGCTGTCCCCATCCCCACCCCTGGGCCCAGCTCAGCAGCTCCCTGCAGCCAGGGTCCATCTGTCCCTCCAGCTGGGGGGCCCTGGGATGCTGCCCTGCTCAGATCTCCTGCAGGAAGTCCACGGGGAAGAGCCCCACTTTGCGGCCGGTGTAGACTTTCACGTAACCATTCACCTCCTCCCCCTTCTGCACCACAATCTGGGGGCGAGAGGGGTGCAGGTGAGACTCCCGGGGCCCCACAGAGCCGGGGGAAGGCAGCAACCTCCAGGTGTGTGTGTGTGGGGGGGCCGGGCAGAGCAGGTCTCATCCAAGGGGCTAGGGGAGGTGGGCAGTGTGGGGATGGTAATGCAGGCCAGGGCAGAGAGTGGCTGTAGGGTGCAGCAGGGTGCCAGGGCAGGCGGGATGCGTGGGGACCTGGAGGAGGCTGGGGCAGAGATGCAGGTGGGGGCTGGACCAGGTGGTCCCATCTCACCTGATCCTTCTTGAGTGTGATCTGCCCGATCTCCCGGTTGCCCACGAAGGAGCGTGTCACCTTGTGCACCCGCTCACCTGCCCGCACCCGGATGATGAAGTTTGGAGGGAAGTAGCCAATTTTTTCACCAATCTTCCCCTGAAAGAAGTCAGTGGATGGGTGCAAGGTGGGGGTTGGAGCCAATCTGTATGACTCCCAGATTCCCCCATGACAAATAGCCTGCAGGTTGTGGGCTGGCATGAGGAGGACACAGCAGATTTAGGGGGCCGTGTCCCCCTTAGAGTGCAATTTGTACTCGCAGCTGACCTCTCCCTTTGCTTTAAGCCCTGCATCTTTCCCTTCTGCGCTTGTAGGACGCCAGCCTTACCCGCCACCACTCCTCGTTGGAGTCATCGACCACCGTGATCTTCTCCCCTGGCCTGCAAAGGGAAGGAAGGGCTCAGTGTGAGGGGGGGCAGGGACCTCTGCACCATGGGAGACTCTGAGGTTGGCAAGGAAAATTGCTCTTCCCACAGCAACAGCTCCTAGAGCCCTGTGCCAGGGGAGGTCAAGGAATGCACACAGCCCACGGGCTCAGAGACAGACAGGTCCTGTACGTGAGCAGCTCAGCCTTAAGTCTAGGGTGCAAGAAATCAGTGGAACCACATCAAGACAAACACCAGCAGCCTTGGAAATGAGGCTTGTGCCCAAAGCCTGGGAGCTGGGAGAGCTGGCTCAGCGAGAGCCAGAGCTCCCGCTGGATGTGTAGCCTATTGGGGCAGGCAGAAAAGCCACAAAACCCAAACCACAGCCAGCATGGCTTTAATTTCTGCCCTCATTCATTCATTCACAGACCCTTCCTGGCTGTGAGAGCCTTGTTGTTGAGGCAAAGACTTCTCCCCCTCCGCACTGGACACCCCACGTCCTTCCCCTCATCACCCCTGTGCCCACTGTATGGCTGGGAACTTACGGGAAATCCAGGTCATCTTTTTCCAGGGCTTTGAAGCGATAAAGTGCCACGAAATAGTGAGACTGCAGATAGCCACCACGAATCCCTGGCTGTGGCTTCTTGTTCTGGGGGAGGAAGAAAGAGGGAGTTGGGGCCCCAGAGAGGCTGAGGACAGCCCCAGGGAGCCCAGCAGGGAGATCTCTGCAGCCTCTGCCCACACTGCTCCAAGGCCAGGAGCCTTCGGGGTGTAGGGCGAGGATGATGGCTACCTTGTCATCTGTTGGGCTCTTCTCAGTTGTCTTGTCCCCTTCAGAGGTGCCTGGAAATGGGAGGAGGGGGGATATGTTTCTCCTGGTGCTGCCTCCCCACCCCAGGACCAGCCTCCTCCCAAGGATCTCCTGTGCCCAGGTCAACAAGGGGAAGCAGAGAGAGCCCCAGGGTGGAGACCTGAACTGAAGACCCTCTTTCTGCAGGGCAAAACCCACCCCAGAGGGCCCGCCCAGGTACCCATCAGGCTCCCTCCCTGCCCCATGCTTGTGGCGGGCGCTCAGCCCCCCTCCCCACCCCAGTTCCTTGGCCCTTGCGTGCAGCCAGCCCCTGCCACGGTCGCAGCACTCACCACCCTCGGTTTTGCCCTTTTCTGGCTTTGTGGCCTCTGGTTCCTCATCCATCATAGCAGCCAAAGGCTGCAAGGCAGAGAGGTGTCAGGGGGTGCAGGGCAGGCAGGAAGGTGGGGGTGGCAATGGGGTGCAGGCTGTGGTGCCAGGACCCTTGGGCATTTGGAGTGACAGGCCAACCCCGCACTCACGTTTTTCTTGTCATCTTGCCCTTTCTTCCGCTCCTTGTTGGCCATAATGACGCCCGTCCGCAGGGTTTCGAACACGGGGTCGCTCCTGTTGGCTGCCGCTGGGGCACAGGGATGGTGAGAGGGGTTCAGCTACAGGACGTGGGGAGATGGGGCATCCCATTGTGGGGACAGTACTTACAGAGCAGCTCCTTGACGCAGGCATATTGCTGGTCGCTATAGAGGGGTGAGCTGTATGCTCGGCGAAACCCCGGGGGCTGGAAGGAAAGAGGAGGTCAGAGCATCAACCACCACCCAGACCCGTGGGCCCTTTTGTGAGAGCTGAGGGGGGAGCGGGTGGATGCTGGGGACCCAGAGAGTGGCCACCCAGCAGGGGGGTGATGCCTGGGTCCCCCCCCTCAGAGCCAGGAAGAGAGATGGGTCATGGCACCTGGGTCATGCCCACAGGGACCGAGCCAGCTGCTCCCTGCTGTGGTGCTTTGGTCTTCCCTGCGAGGAGGTGCCCTGAGCCTGGGGCTGGTGGGAACACTCACGATTTTGCCAAAGCAGCGCTGCATCTCCACATAGGACTGGCAGTGGTGGTGGATGTTGGTTTTGCAGTTCTTGCACCTCAGGCCAAATTTGTTGTTGACTGGCGGTGGAGGGGTGGAAAGGAGAGGCAATGTGACACTGCAGCTGTGGGGACGGCTGGGCTGGAGTCCTCACCAGCCTTGGCCCCCAGCCCTCGCCCTGACCATGGCCCCCAGCCCCAGCACCCTCAGGACTCACGGACAATCATGCGGGCACAAACATCACAGAACTTGGGCTTTTTGAAGTAATGATCTTTGAACTTGTGGGGTTTGTCATTGACAAGTTTCTGGGGCTCGGGAGGGGGCTCAGGCTCCTCCTCCTCTTCCTCCTCTTCCTCCTCCTCATAGATGTAGTAGATGGGTCCCCCTGAGGGGCTGACAAGTTCCCCGTTGGGCTGTGGCTCTGGCGCCATCTCCTCCTTGGGCTTTCGCTGGAAAAGTTGCTTCAGCTTCTGTAGCTGCGGGGGCAGGAGAGGATGCATTGCACACAGCAGGTGCGTGGGGTGCAGCAGGCAGGCAGGCAGGCAAGCCAGAGCCTGGCTTCCCACCCCTTTGCTCTGACCTAGAGACTCCTTCTTCCCCAGGTGGGACAAGACCCCAGGCATCCTGGGTCAGAAATGCTGTGAGGATGGGGACCCTTCTCCCAGCCCCGTGAGCTCCCCACAAAAGGAGAAACTGTGACTCCTGAGCACCATGTGGATGTAGGCACCCTGGGGAAAAGCCAGGCTGGGAAATGGCCACCCAGTGCCCTGCTGGATCAGGATCCCAGCAGGCATCCCTGGCCCCACAAAAACTCCTGGGGCTGAGGCAGAGAAGATGCTAGAAAGGCAGCTTCCCCCACCCACCCGATCTGCCCTGTGGGCACCCACTTACCCGGCTCTTGGGTTTCCCACCTGGAGCAGGTGGAGCTGGTGGCTCTGGCACTTCCTTCTCTGTCATGCTATGAGGGAAAAAGAGAGACATCACATTGGCTGGGGCTGTTCCCACTGCAGGTGCCCAGTGGGGGCAGGAACAGCCAGACCTTGCTGGATGGGAAGCATCTCCCAAGCCAGTGCCTCCCTCTGTCCCAGCAGCACCACCTCCTGCTGCCCTGCCTGCAGCTCCTGCCCGAGCAAGGGCCAGTTCTGCTGTGGGCGAGTCCTGGGGCCCCAGGGTACCTGCTGGGCCCTGCTGCGCAGGCTGGAGAACAGCAGGCTCCCAGCACAGTGTGCACAGCACCGCTGCTTGCTCAGTGGACGTGGTGCCAAGCGCTGCGAGCCAGACCCTGGGCTACCTGCACATGTCCATCTCTGTCTAGACATCATCTCACGATTAAACTGCAAATGGTGCCGCTCTTGGCCCCCTAGGACAAACATGCGTATGACGCTGTCTGGCATCACTGCACAGCCCTGATTTCTTCTCCACAGAAGTCCCATGCTACCATGGGGGCAGGATCTGCTCCTGCATCCCCCAAAACATGCCTGATTCCACCTTTGACTGTCAACCATCCCCACAGTCCTTCTACCCAGACATCACTATTTTTGGTGATACCTAACACAAGGCCCCCCCATGCCCCTGTGGAAACCAATCAGGATGACCATCAGGGAAACAGCGATGGGGGCTGGGGAGTCCTGGGGCAAGGGGTGCTGCAGAAGCAAAGAGCCCTGGGGTCTTGCACAGCAATGTGGGTGGAACAGGGGCCCACAAGGGTCAGTGGCCATGATGAGAAGCCGCCGCGCACGAAAACACACTTACGCTGTGTTTGGAGCTCTTGTCCTGCGATGAAAAACCCCGCACAGGGTGGCCGATGTTGGGGCCCCGTTGGCTGCGGAGCCCCCAGCCCTCTGTGCCGGGTGCGCAGGGAGGGGGGCAGCTGCCCCAGTCCCGTGGAGAGCGGGAGTGACAGGCCAGAGGGGAACCGACAGCTGAGCGCTGGCGGAGGCTGACGCCGAGAAATTGGAGCCCATGCCTGAGCCAGGAGGGGAGCGGGGTGGAGAGGAGCCACTGGCTATTTGCGTTAGTGGGTTGCTGGGCGTGCCAGAGGCCCACCCACCCCCTGGCATGGGGCAGCAGCAGAGTAGGGGCACACCAAGTGCTCCAGCCTTGATGTCTCGTTTGCTCTGGCATTTGAGGCCCCTGCAGCTGGGAGGGGAAAAATCCTGCTGGTCTGCTCTCCACTGAGGCAGAGAGCTGCCACGGAGGAAAGAGCTGGGGACCCCATTGCTATCATGCCGCCCTGCAGTGGGTGCCAGGTCCCCGGAGCTGGACAGGCACCCCAGTGCCTGAGTCCCTGGACCTATGTCCCTGCCAGGCTGTGGGTGGCAGTGGTGCAGGAGTTTGCACCAAGGCTGGGGTTGGAGCCCACCCCTTCCAGGCAGCTCTTACCTCTCCACTTGCACCTGCTCTTGAAGGCAGCATCCAGATGCTGCAAGAGGCTCCAGCTTCTGTGTGCAATGCAATGGTGAGGGTGGTGCCAGCCCAACTCTTGTACCCACAGGGCAGGAGGACACAGTGATACCTGCAGCTATCAGCTCAAGTGCTGCTCCCCTGTAATCAGGAGGAATATGCTGCTTCCTGCCAGGGGATACAGCTGGGGACATGCCATGGCCCCATTCTTGCCATTGCACAGCTGCATGGGGCTAGCAGCTGGGAAAGGAGTCTATGAATATCTGATGGGGGGGACCAGCCCCAGATCAAAGTGCTCAGCGCTCCTCTCCCAGTCTTGGCTCCCAGCCTCGGCAAGCCATGAGCTTGCAGCCCTTGTACATGCCAAGCATGGAGGCAGGACCTAGGCAGGCACCCATCCTCCTGTGAGTGCCCCTTCTGCTCCCTGGCTGTCATCTCACCCTGAGGAGGCAGCACAGACAGCCCCTAGCACTGGTACTGGCAGAGAACGGGAAAGCAGCGTTAAAGTGATGGACAAGTTTTCTTTTTATATTTAAAAACACCCCCCCAAATAAAATAAAACCAAAAATACCCCCCAAATAATAATCAGATTAAATAAAATGTGCAGTGAACATACCAATCAACACCTGTATGTGCAGTTCAACACAGTGCTTAACAAAACAATATACACAGGGTAAGGTGGGCGGGCACGGGCATCACTCAAAAAAAAAAAAAAAAATCAATTTCTTGTCTCTTAATTATGTCCATATAAATATATCCAGGAAGGAGAGTGAGAGGAAGGGAGGGCAGAAAGGAAAAGAGAATGTAGAGGGAAGTGCCCGCAGTCCAGTGTGCTCTGTGCCCGTTGCGTGAGCCCTACTGTGAGCTGGCACGCTCCAGCACCCGCAAGTCGTAGTTCTTTTTGGCCACACGCAGCTTGAAGCGGCTGAGGGAGTTGTTGAGTCGGAGGGAGGCATTCTGGGCAGCCAGCGGGCTGGGGAACACGGCCACGATGGTGTATAAGGCAGCAAGGTCACTGTGCCTGCCGTTCTCTGGAGTCCCATTGTTGTCCCCGCCGCCCCCATCTCCACGGCGCCCCTGAGTCTCTTTGAGCCACTGGATTTTGGCACCAGCCATGGCGAGCTGGGTGAAGAGCTTGTCAGCTTCTGTCCGCGTGATGCCCTCGGGCAGGTCTGTCACCTCCAGCACTCGGCCCAGCACTGCAGTGGAAAGACAGCACGTGTCAGCGGCAGCAGATTCTTGGGTGGCAACAGCACAGTGAGAGCTGATGCGTGGGCTCCTCACCAGCTCTGGGGTTGGAGCGGTCACCTCTACTTTGCGCATAAAAGCAGCGCTTTGCTAAGCTGCCCCCACATTAGGAATGTATTTTTTTAAGCCAGTCACTTCTTCCCCCTCAAACTGCCCCTATCATTCTGCTTCCTACAGTGCCCCATTCTGATCCTTTCTGACACCCACATCCTGGTCCCCACATGGCCTGCTTCAAGACGAGACTGGTATTTCCCATGTGCCCCGGGCTCCAGCAACACCAAGTCCTCCTTGCTTCCTTTGGCTGGGCTTGGCTTTTCAGTTAGGGCTTTCCCAGGTGCTCTGCCCCATCTTCCTACCCCTACCCTATCCTTGGGTACCAGGATTGGCAGCTAACCCAGCTCTCCTGCCCTCTCTCTCTGGAAGGGAGAAAGACAGGCTGCACCCATGGAGGACACCAACAAATGCAGATCCTGAATTTGACATTGCCCTGTGTGCTTCACCCATGGGGAGGATCCCCTTCTGTGCCCAGGCCAGTGTCACGCCAACCTCTTTGCCTCTGCTCTGTGGTACCCAAACACTTCTACTGCTTCCTGGCTCCAGCCCTGGCTTTTGGGCTTAGCGGAGGGCTGGCTGAATGGATTCTTTGCTAATATTAACATGGCATGTAATGAACATGCCAGCCACAGGGAGGGGGGCAGCTCTCCGGCAAGCAGCTCTTAAAGGGCCCCCTGCGACCAGCTGCTGTTGGTGGTGACATGGAGGTGACATGGGGGATAAGTCTGAAGTGTCCAGAGAGCCAGTGAAGACTGCCTCCCTTCCAGGCCGTCTGGCTCATGCCCAACTAGCAAGTCTTGTATTGTTGTGGGGAGAAGCCAGACGTGCCTCTCCTTTCCTCCCCGATGACCAAGTAGAGACCCCCCAGGGCGAGGAACAGGGAGTCCCTTTCCCTTTGGAGAGAAATGATCCACTGGGGATTTCAGCCCTCGCAGCCACCCCTGGAAGATCCCAAAGCCCTTTACAAAGATGAAGGCTCTGCAGGTCCTGGCCCCACTGGGAAATGGAAGCATGAGAGGGAAGGGTCACTTGGGAAGGCAATGGTGGGAACAAGATCTCAGGGGTCTGGACACTCACTTTCTGCTGACAAAGAGGAATAAAATCCCAGCAGTTCTGCCAGCTCCACCCGCTCCACCATTTCAACCCTCACAGAGGCCCAGGTGTCCTGGTGCTCATCACTGACACTCCAACAATTTGTCCCCACTCTTCCTCAAAAGCTTTGCTCAGTGCAGGCAGGGTTTACTGGGTTCCTGAGCAACCCTTGTCCTCCTAGCTCCTGATGGGCACAGCTGACTGGGACTGGCTCTGCTGCACGCCACCCCCAAGCCAGGCCTCACATGGGCTGTGTGTGGGGTGTGTGTTTGCATGCGTGGGGGAGGCGGTGGCGGGCAGGAACTGCTCTCCACAACCACCCCCAGCAATGGGTGCTGTGGGATGCTGGTGTCGGCAGAGATAGCATCTGGAGCCTCTGCCAGCTACGCCCATGCAGTGGGGACTAGTCAGAGGGCAAAGGGGGAACTTCTTGAGGAGGGTCACTTGCCTACATCGCTTGTCCCAAGGTCAGTGGACGCTGACTTGAGGGCCTGTCTCTTGCTCCGGTTTCCATGTTTCATTCCAGTCTGCCCCTTAAAGAATAAAAATGGTAGCGTGTCACCTGAGGAGACACTGTGGCCTCACAGTGCCCACAGAGCATCCTGGGAGTAGGGGGGAAGACCAAACTTGACTAGGCCATGGCTGTGAAGGGGAATGAAGCCACCTGGATGAACCTTGCATGCCCTGGCACCTTTGAGGTGACACCATGCTTGGGTAAGTTAGATGAGATCAAGGCACAGCCATGGTTCCAGGACACTCAAAGGACTTGGGGCTGACACTGCTTCTGGGCAAAGCTGGGAGCAGGATGAAATTTTAGCCCAGTGCCAGACTCCAGGGAAATCCATTCACAAAGGCAGCTTTGCCAGATGGATGGCAAGAGCATGGGGTAGTCAGCCTGATACCTTATCAAGTGGTGTCCAAGCACAGGGCAGGATGTGAGACTCACTTCTTAACTACTCCCGGGCCCTGCCCAGAGAAGGGCTGTCCGGGGAGAGGGGGGCCGTCTTGCTCTGCTCCCAGGACAGTGAAAGGGTGGGTGAGTGGGGGTTTGGCCCAATTTTACCTGGTGTGCATTGTAGTTGGGCTGGTTGTGGAGCAGCGGTGGGGGACAGAGAGACAGATTATACTGCAGCGGCTGGCCCAGCAATGAGTAGCGCCCATCACCTGCAAAAAGAAGCAAATGTTTGTAGGGGTCTGAAGAAATCACAGGAAATACCCAGCCCTGTGCTGTCCCCACTCCTTCCCCTTACCTTGTGCCGGGCCCATGGGCCGGGGGAACTGTGTGAGGACAGGGAGAGGGCTCAGCCCTGTGCAGACACTGTTGAGGCTGGTGACAGGAGATGGCGTCGGGGACTGGGTGGGGGACGTGATGGGGCTGTTCAGCTGGGTGCTTGCCTGGGGGACAGAGAGTGTTAGACAGCCCCAGTGCTTGTGACCTGTCCCACAACTGTCTCACCACCATGGGATGAGCCCACCCCCATCTCCCAGCCCATCCAGACAGCATGGATGCTGGGGTCTTCTCTCTCCCACCAGGCTGCTCCCAAAAGATGAGCTGCCTGCTTCCCAGTCCTCTCAATACCTGAGCACTCGTGTCTGTGTTGTACAGGTCTCCTGGCTTCTGCCCCCGCTGGTCCAGGCTGTAGTACTTACAGTGGCTCCACTGCACCACAGGGGGATTCTGGGGGGCCTGGGGGCCATTGGGTACATTCAGCTGCATCACAACCACGCCAGGACCTGATGGAGACACCCCTGGGGAGAGATGACAGCAGCAGTATTGCCAAGGCTCTGCACACTGCTGCTGCTGCTTGCTGTAGGACAAGAGGCAGCCTGCCTGTCTGTGCCCGTACTCCCCTTCCTACCCCCCCCCCCGTACTCTTTCCTATAACACCCCCTCCGTACTCTTTCCTACAACACCCCCTCCGTACTCTTTCCTCTGCCACTCCTGCCTGCCCAGGTGGGCTGAAAAAGGCCCCACCAAGATCTGGTCGGGATCCCTCTCTGATATCACAGCTTACATCAGAAAGTGATGACTTTTAATCCAGGAGAAATACGAGCAGGGGGGACAAGCTGAAGGCAACTTAGGGGACCTCTCTGAGCATCACAGCAAAACTTCAGGCAAAGGATCTAATCAGAGAGCTGGGTGCAGAGCTCGAGTATCCTGGGTCCAGCTCTTGCACCAATTCACCAGGCCCCAGCTCACTTCCCTGCAGCTGGGACAGGATGCAGGAATCCTGATGCTCCTCTCATCCATAGTGCTCCCTGGTCCCACGAACTGCCCTGGTGACACTAAGCCGCGTTGCCAGCAGAGGGAGTCCGCAGCCCACAGCGGCTCCCTCTACCTGCTCCTACCCTGCCTGCCCACCATGGCAAGGAGATGCCAGGCACAGGCCGGAATCAGCCTGGAAATGAAGTCTCTGTGCCACGTCCTGGTAATTCCCAGTGGGCCACAGGATGGGTAAGACTAAGGAAACCCATTGCACAGAAGCTGCCAGACTTGGCTGTGAATTGACAGCTCTGTTCACTGCAGCCCCTACAAAACGTGATCCAATCTGTGCAGAATCAGTGCCAACCCTGACCAGTGGCCCCTCTTACCTGAATACTGCTGCTGCATCTGTGGCGGGCTGCAGGGTGATGGGGACTGTGGCATCTGATACTGTTCAGAGCCAGGTGGCTGAAGGAACCCCACCGAAGGGCTGTGAAGCAGAGAGTGCTCTGGTGAGGTGCTGGGGATGGGGAGAAATAGCCTGCCCATCTGTGCAGGCAACCACCAGCTCCCTCAGTGCTTGAGATGGCTGGAAACACAGCTGGAGCTGGAGGAGCACAGGAAGCACCGCATGCTGCAGGACAGCTGTGTTCAGGAAGTGCTGACTGTGGGAGCTAGGACTGGGCAAGCTCAAGAGTTGACCAGCATCTATGGTGCCCAGCCACCTCCTCTAGCTGCAGGAGTAGGATGCTATGCCCTTTCAGTAGGGCAGCAGGACCCCTTTCTCCCCAAGGCAGGCCAGAGATATAGAAGCTTTACCTGGTGCCGTTCTGCTGGGCAGTTGGGATGACACTGTAGTAGATGGGTACCCCTCCAGCCTGAAGCCCACCCTGAACAGACTGGCTGGCTGGTACAAGCACTGGCTGCTGGAAGGGCTGCTGGACCACGCTCTGGGACTCACTGGCCACAGGAACCTGTGCAGGGAAGAAAGATGCAGCCCTGTGGAATGACAGGTAACATAGAGCAGGAGCAGGGAGAACTGGCCCTAAAGAGACACCAGCAAGGTCCATAAAAGGTAGAAGAGATGCCAGATGGCTGTCTACTGCAGCCCAGAGCAATCTTGCCCAGGCAAGGGCAGCCCCTCCCAGCTCTTCTGCAAACACAATGGCAAAGGGACCAGCTGCACTCAGCCCTCCTTCTCAAGACATGTCCCACAGAGATTCAAATGTGGATGTGCCCTCCCCAAGCTGGCAAGCATGCACTATCTTCTCAAGGTGAATAAGTCTCTATCTTTGGCTCCATTACTCAGGCACAGGAACAGTGCACTTCCTGCAAGGCCTGCACAGCTGAGGCTCCCTCCCCAGCAGCCCCTCATCGGAGAGCAACTGATGCCTACCTGGTACGAAGGCAGTGGAGTGTACTGGACCATCAGGCCTTGCATCTGGCTCCCCATACCGCTCCTCTGGCTGCTGAGAAGGCCAGGGGGCTGCGCCTGCTGCACTCCCATCATACTCTGCATCTGGCCCCCCATGCTGTTCCTCTGGCTGTTGAGGAGCCCGGGGGGCTGTGCCTGCTGCACTCCCATTACACCTTGGTATGTTTGCTGCTGGTTGGACATCATTGGCTGTAAACCTGTCAGAACAGGGTTTAAATGGAGCAGCTTCCCAGCTGGCCACAGGAGACAGCCTGACACTTGGCATACGAGGGCTCAAATCCTGCTTTGTCCCCATCTCTTGCTAAAGAGTGGGAAAAGGGCTTCCCTTACAGCAGATATAACAAAAACCTGGAGGAAGCTCCTGGCTTTAAATGTACCTTGCAGCACCTCAGTGCATGCTACATGCTGAGAGGGAGGGAAAAGACTAAAACAGCCTTTGCAGCCAGGTCAAGTTTCAACTTTCCTTTGCACAGTCAAGAGGCACTCTATAGTCAGCAAGTCCCACAAAAAGTGGGAGACAGGGAAGAGCAGCCTGGCCCAGACAGTGCATGGGAGATCCTTAAGAGCCAAGAAGAGTGGCAGGAAAGGGAAACATGCCCCCTCCCCGCTTCTATGCCCCCTTACCAGGCTGCTGGGACTGCTGGGGGAGCTGCTGAGTGCGCTGGGAGCTGTAGGCCACTGGGTGACTGAGAGATCGGTATTGCTGGCTGGAGTTCGGGTACTGCCCAGGAGGGTAGTAAGAAACCTGAATCTATCAGAATCAAGAAAACATGGTGATGAGAACACAAGAGAGAGTGGGACCAAGAAAGCTGGTCCCCCAGGACCAGTTTTCTCTCTCACCTGGCCTGGCTTCTGCCGAAGGAAACCAACCAGGGCTTTGGCTCTGGCCAGATGATAGCTCCTCAGGGAACCGCAGCCCCTTCCCGCTCCTCCCAGCCTCCACATCCAAGCCTTTCCCAGCACAGTAGTGCAAGAGCACAGTAGGCACAATTCTCATCACAGCTCAGGGGAACAATCCTAGAGGTCATAATGCCCTGCAGGACCCCAAAGAGAGCTTAGAGGTGTCAGTCCTGAATCTGGTCACTGTCCCTCCCGCAACACTATGAGCCAGGAATGGCCAGAGGGGTCCCCAGATAAATGCCTTGTGAGCTCAGAGGGACAAGGGAGCAGAGATCATCTTGTGCCTAGCAAGGGTGCATGCCAACCCGGAGCTTGGACCTCTGTGTATTGATCTATCACAAATGAGCAGCAGAAAAAGAGGGGACCCACACTCAAGAAACTGTTCTCTGGACTGCTCCCCAGCAGCCCCTTGCCTGACAGCTTTGGGCCGAGGTGCACATCCCCTCCAGGCTTGCGCATGTCCTTACTTGCTGGGGAGGCTGAATGTAGCCCTGGGGCTGCAGCACCTGCTGTGTCGGGGCTGTGTGCCCTGAGGCGGAGTAGTTGGAGGTGGGAATGGGCTGCCCAGGGGTTGCCATGATGAATCCTGTCTGCTGAGGATGCTGGGAGATGAGGGATGACTGGAACATAGCCGAGGAAGGATCCGGTGCTTCTGTAGAGCCCTGTCGGCTGAGACTGATCTGCCCAAAGGGGTTGCTGAGTTCGTCAGCCTGCATTGGGGATAAACGGGAAGGATGGAGGACAGCATGTAGGACACAGCTCTGCTTAGTAGACTGCAGACCCCTTCTCCCTATTCTGTGTGGAGAAGCTCGCCCAAGAAAGGTCCCCAGAAATGAGCCACAGACCAAAAGCATTCTCCAGGACAGGCGGCAGAGGCATGACAGCTGCTGGGGGGGCCCCAAATGCTCAGTGGCCACTGGCGACATGCAGGGCTCCACACAGGCAGGGGTGGCCCCAGCCCAGAGGCTATGTCCCATGGTGCACACTGTTCCCGAAAGACCCAGCAGAGACAACACAGGGGCTGACTGAGACCATAGGACAGCAATGGCCCCTGGACTCCAGTGCTGGGCACGAGCGTCGCTTTCTGGTGGAGGTCTGGGCTTGGCACTTGCTCCTCCCTAAGCTCTTTCCAAGATCAGCTACTCCAGCAGTGCCCAGCCCTGATGGGTCCCACAGCCTCAGGCATCCCACTGCCTTGACCCCACTGCAGCGCAGAGCCTCCATGAATCCCAAACCGACTGGGTGCAGCGTCCACGACACACCTGATTAGCAAAAGCTCATACAACACAAACACAGCACACGAGTACAACAGAGACAGCGCAGAAAAGGAAATGGGGTTTATACCAAGTTGTACTGCTGGGGTGGAGAGACTGGCAAGAGGACCTGGGGGCAGGAGCTTGGAGAATACTGAACAGGCTGCAGCGCTGGGACCGGCTAAGACCAGCAGAGAAGGGAGGGGAGGAGAGAGATTGGGGGCAGGGGGGGAAGGAAGGATGGGAGGAAGGAGAGAAAGAAGGAACAACAAGGTTAGTCAACTGAGCCAATTGCAAACACACAGAGACGGGCATCGCAGAGGGCTGGAAAGCATGGAGACCAGAATGGGGGAGCATTCATCTCTCTGTGAAGACACATAGCCCGGCCAGTTGCTTTGTGGAAGCTGGGAAGGCTGACCATGTCTGCAAAGCAGCTCTTGCCTGGCATGAACAGTGACACAAGTTCACAAAGGCCAGCTACGGCCAACAGCAGCAGGAGAGCCACTTCGCTTCAGCACAACCTTTGTGTCTCTCCCACTCCATTGCCCACTTGTGTGCGGCACTGACTCCCAGCTCTCTCTGCAGCACTTCTTGGCCTTTCCTGCTGGTAATGTCTTTTCTTCACTCTTGCCTTCTGTAGGGGCCCCTGTCACTTTGTCACTGGGAGGACCTGCTGATGCCTGTTTATGATAACACCTAACTCAAGCACCACATACTGTGCTTTGGGCACCGAAGCTGTAACGGTCAGCACTGGATTGTTTTTTTGATCATTTGATTAGGCCTTTGATGAAACAGAAGGTGCACGCACATGTGGGAGAGTGCATTTGCAGGCCTTGCACCAACAGTCAAACACATGAAAAAAGTTTTTCCAGGACCTAAACCATTAGAATGGCCAAACAGTAGAAGATATAAAATAAAACCCCAGCAAGACACAGTAATCCTGCACAAGCTCCAGAAGCCTGCTGTGTATTCAAACCTCCCACCCAGGGCACTGTGCCCTGTCCCATGCCATGCTACAGAACCAGACAGACACTCCTGCTAGCCTTAGCGCTGGACCCTGGCTACCTCAGGAAGACACCTCATCTGCAGAACTGAGATGTTGCCCTTGAGTCTCAGTATCCTCTGCAAACAGATCCACAACCCTGGAGCCAGTCCAGGGCCCAAGAACTACAAGCTCCCCCCATCCTCATACAGATGGCAACAGACACCAAGGAGCTGTTCATGTTATCTGCAGTAAAAGCTGTTCAAGGAGGCAGTGATACAGGGGCAGCTCTTGTGCTGGGGTTTTTTTACAGCCTCAGGAACAGAACAAAGTATGTAGGAAGGACAGCCACAAGTGCTTTCCAGAGGGTCTGTCCTCAGAAATAGCCTTGCAGGCTGTGGAACATCACTTGGGTTTAACTCAGGGAGAGTCTGGAGAATACACGCAGGCACAGTTCCAAGTCTGCCTCTTCCCAGGACATCACGTGACCAACAATGGGATTTCAGCGCTGGGGAGCTCAAATGCAACTACCGTTTGTGATGGTACCTCACCAGGAGGGCAACTGGTTCCAGAACATAACCCTGCCACTCAGCAAAGGACTACAGACCCCTTACCAGGAGGGCTGCTGGCCCAAGCAGATACAGAAGAAGCTGGCAAGTTGAGATGTCATGCAGCATCATACTCAGGCACAGCAAGGCCTCCAACCTTCTCCTGCTCTCTGCCAATAGCACAGAGGGACTGTCACTCCCTAACAGGCAGCAAGTGTGAGGACACCCAAAACCGCCTGGGCAAGTATGAGTCCAGAGCACCCTGGGTGTATGCTAGCTCTGCTTCTACCTCCCACCTGTGTGCCCAAGGAGCTTACTGAGCTGTGGATGCTGTGCAGCAACTCACCTGGGATATCATGTGGTTACTCATGGCTGGCTGCTGCTGGGCTGCAGGTGGAAGTCCTTGGGGATGCGGTGGTGGCTGTTGGGGTGGCTGCGGTTGAGGCTGCTGGGCTGTGCAGGGTAGGAGGCCACGGCTGGGCTGTGAAGAAGGGGATTGGCTGCATGCTTCAGGGGCACCTAGTACCAAACCTTGAACAGAGAAAGACATGGCAGAGTTGGTACCTGGGAGAGAAAAACATTGATTCATTGATGGGGAAGGCGGGGGGTATATCCTGTCACTACCTCCTGTACTACAGCCAGATTCCATTCTCTGCAGCCCACATGGGAGCTTCCGCAGGGGACAGGGTGAGCAGGCTGCAGGCTAAGTCACTAGTTTGCCTCTGCTTCACAGCAAACCAAGCTGTTGACACCCTCGGGACTCCAAGTGATTGTGCCTCTCATCTCCATGTCCATGTCCACACACTGACCCTCCAGAGCAGGTCACAGCCCCTACTTCTCCCCCGGACCCATGCATGCCCTGCCCCACACAGGGAAGATCAGGATGCAATTCTTGTTCCAGACCATGGCCACGAGATGTACAGCTGTTATTCCCAAGAGTGTGCTCTCTTCCTTGACCCCAACCTAGCACCCTCACTCCAAGTGGACAGCCTACACAGTGGTCCCCACCCACAGCTCTCAGGTAGCTGCTGTTTGGGTAAACCTTCAACACTACTCAGAACTGCAGGAAATTAAAAGGCCAATGGCAGGCTCATATGATCAATCCAGCTGGCCTCTGGCCACAGGACAGTGCATGCTTGGTGCAGGTGCTGGCAGGATTGGCACAGGCTAGTAAAAACACATCTGTGTTGCAACTGATTCTTTGGAGGGATGTGCCCTCTGTCTTGTCTGGAAAGCACCAGGCACAAGTCAGGGCCTTCTATAAATGCCATGGACCTTCTGCTGGAAAGAGGAATCTGGCTGTTAACAGCAGCACCTGCCTGGTGGAAGGCTCTCCACCCCAGCATGAGGCAGAGATTACAGAAAGAGGGAGCTGCCCGATACACTCATGTCAGCTCAGTACCATAAACCCATCTCTGGAAAGAAGCTGGAGAGCTGTTCCCGGTCACAGCTCAGTTCTGCAGCTAAGCACAGCCCCGGCACGGACACTAATATGTCGTCATGACCTGTTTGAGTGCTTGCCCAGAACAGAGAGGGGACTGAGGGAATCCTATTTTATGGCTACATAGACTCAGCACACGCACATCTTTTGAGTAAAAGGCTAGGGGGTGGCAGGCTGAAAGCAATTCCTTCTTGTGGTAGGAAAAATTGTTAGGAACGTGTGCGAAACATGCTGCAGGGCACCCAACTGGGAAGTGCTCTCCTCAGTATTTCAGTCTTACTTGCAGAAATAAAAGGGCTGTGAAACTATTGCTTGATGCCCAGTAGCTGCTATTTAACTAATTCTGCCTCTAATCTACTGTATTTCAACAGCTAATCTTCAGGCATTCTGCTAAGGAGGTCTGTATCATCAGCCACACGGTGCAAAGAAGGACATATTTTGCTGACAGTTGCCCAGGGCCTGAATGTTGAGATGGGAAAAGAGCCCCAGAGTCCTAAGCGCTTCCTGCCCCACAGAATAAACATGAGGATATGGAGGGTGGTCGGTTCCCCCCCCC